GAAAATATGAGCCGATTATTATAAACGAGGAAAACTCTCTCGGTGAATAAAACGGTTTACAGATTATGGAAAATGACTCCAGATCAGGACTACATGTTTTTCCCAGCACTTTAACGTCTCTGCACCAGTAATGCATGATTTCCGCTTAAATGACCACATGATTTATTGCAGTATTCTCACAACATAAAATCAATATTTAAAAACTTGATCATCTTAGTCCTTAATTGTTAATTGACAGTATATATAATATAATATATTTTTCATTTCTAAGTCCGAGGGACTGACTAGATGCAGCAGATATATTAGGTGTACACTCCCCTGTTATAATAGCAGGTTTTTATGACAGAAAATTAGACAATTCAATCATTTCAAAGCTTTTTCCACCTTTAATGTTACATATATATTTTATAATTTAACAGAAAAACAAATAAATCTGCTGTAGGGCAAATATAAAAAAACAAAAAAGCTACAGCAACCTAGTTTCACATGTTTGCACACCTCTAAATTATTTGTTTGTTAAACCACCTTTTGTTTAAATTTCAGGATTTAATTGTCCTTGGCTAAGGTCTATCAGCATGCCACAGCTTGACTTGGTATATTAATCAGATTGTCAGAACATCTTTTGTCTATGGGCCCCTTCACGTTGATTCACAGACTTTCTGTCAGATGTCTGAATTCTGGTTAGGTTATTCTAAAACATTAATTTTCTTATGGTAAACTCATTCTTTTGTTGATTTTGATATGTTTAGACCCACCGTGATACTAAATGATAAAATCCCTCTTCATCTTCAGCTTTCTAGAAGCTTTGGATCAAAATGGACAAGTATTTGGAACTGTTCACAGTTTCATCAAACTTAACAGAAAGTCTAGTTTTATTTGAAGAAAAGTAACAGCAGAGCGTCATTCTGCCACCACCATATTCCACTCTGCTGAACTTGGTGTTCTTTTGGTAATGTGCTTTGCTGTTTTTGTCTAAAACATATTACCTTTTTTAGTACTGTGGCCAAGAGTTAATCTTTTGTTTCATCAGATCATAACATATTTTTTAACATTTTTGTAGGGCTTGGAGTTCATCCAACTTGTTTCCCAACGATATCAAATTGCCCATCATAATCGACGGAAGAGATGGTTTATAACAAATGTCCAAAAGTAGAAAAGTATTAGGAAAAATCCTCCAAGCTGCACAGCATCCGACACCGGAGAGGACAGTCATCCAAAAAATATCAACTGTATCCACCACAACAGGAAGAGTTCCCAAAAAAGAATCAATCAGAATCAAAATTAACAGCGCTACTCCAACCTGCTGCCACCTTGAGCAGCGCAATTCTAGAATTGAAATTGAAAATACAAGAGAAAGTTACCGCAACCAAGGCCTTGCAACATTGCAGTTTCTATCAGTTATGGAAAAACGTCAAATTATAGTTATGTCAATATTGTATATTTTCTAAAATTTTTGGTGGAAATTTTTGTGCCATGACGTGTACATACGGTACACTGGCTGGATACTATATGGCAGCGTATACATCAAGTCCCAGGCAAGAGAACTGTGTTTGAATAATTGTCCACTTTAGTAACCAATACAGAGGAAAGGGCAACAACTGACATTTTCCCCTCCAAGGTTTGAGAGTAGATTTCATATGCACACTTACAAAATAAAGGTTTCAGAAACTCAACCATAAAGAGACATTAACTTTTAGTCCCTCAGATCATTAAGTCCAGATTTTTGTTCTGTGCAGTTTTATGTTAAGTGATATGAATGCTTGTGTTGCCTCCAGTTTCACGGAGGGACTTGAACCCTGAATCATCTGATCCAAGGTCAGGTGTGTTGCCAATTTAACCACATGATCCAAGCTTGGATAGTCTGGATAAAGCAGCTTGACAATTCCTTTCATGTCTAATGATCAGGATTAAATCAGAAAGTTAGCCTTCCCACCATGCTCTGTTAACCAGAGGACCTTTAAGGAGTCTTTAAACCCATTTTGAAACAAATTTAAGAAAAAGCTTAAGGACTTTCAGATGCTACTTTAAACTTTGAAGGCAATATTAAAACTTTCAACCATGCTCGAAGTTCACATTTAGATTCGGCTTTTTATATTGAAGTGGATGCTGAAGTTTTGATATGCTTAGCCAAAAGCTACTTGAACAATCTTCTGATTTAAAGAGATACTTGCTTGTTTTGACCACATGCCTTCACTGAATGAAATGTTAAATGTTTATTTCAGAGATCAGTTCAAACTCTTTTCAGTAAAGAAATGTTCGAATAGTCAGTGTGTTGGAATTGGTGTTAACTGCTGCAGACTTGGTTTTGGAAACCCAGAGGCCTTATTGTTCCACATTAGTGTCAGGTATCACAGAAGAAGGGGATTTTATATTAAAAATGTATGAGTGCAGTTATAAGAGAGGCAGGTGAGAGCTGGTCTGTTGTGATCAGCTACATAATCTTCTGATATGAATATGTACATTTCACACAGATAACATCTAAAGGTAAAGCTACGTACTTCTTACGGAATTAAGAAGTGCTGTTGCACTTGGTGAATTGTTTGGTGTGTGAAGGCTCTCTCGTTTGATCTGATTTCTCTCTACTGTGATATCTCTTACTTGTTATAATACATAAGCACGTTAAAACACATACTTTCTGTTGCTGTATTTAACGTTTGGGGACTCTCCGTGTCTTACACGGTTTTTCTAGTAGTGGTAAGGGGTCGCTAGCTTAGCGTTAGCTCCACCATGGCTACCCGTTCTGCTGTTTCTCTCTCTGAGTCTCCTCCTCTCTCCTGCTCTCTGTGTCAGATGTTCAGTTACTCCTCTGCCTCCTTTAGTGATAATGGTACGTGTAATAAATGTAGCATTTTTGTAGCTTTGGAGGCGAGGGTGTCGGAATTGGAGGCCCGGCTCCGCGCTGTTGAAAAACCAGCAGATAGCTGAGGCCCCCTTAGCCAGCGTGGAGCCACCGAGGGTAGCTCCTCGTAGCACCCTTCAGCAGAGCCCGTGCAGCCGGGGCCTCAGGTCAGCTGGGTGATGGTACGTAGAATACATAGTCCTAGATCCCAGCCCACAGGTCACCACCAACCCATCTGCATTTCTAACAGATTTTTCCCACTCAGTGACACACCCGCTGAGAAGCCAACTCTGGTAAATGGCAGCTCCATAGTCAGAAACGTGGCACTAGAGACACCAGCGACCATAGTCAAATGTCTGCCAGGGGCCAGAACGGGCAACATCAAATCCTACCTGAAACTGCTGGCTAAGGATAAGCGTAAATACAGTAAGATTGTTATTCACGCTGGCGGTAATGACACCCGGTTATGTCAATCGGAGGTCACCAAAGTTAGTGTTGCTTCGGTGTGTAAATTTGCCAAAACAATGTTGGACTCCGTAATTTTCTCTGGTCCCCTCCCCGATCTGACCAGTGACGACATGTTTAGCTGCATAGTGTCATTCAACCGCTGGCTGTCTAGGTGGTGTCCAGAAAACAATGTGGGCTACATTGATAATTGGCGAACATTTTGGGGAAAACCTGGTCTGATCCGGAGAGACGGCATCCATCCCACTTTGGATGGAGCAGCTCTTCTTTCTAGGAATCTGGCCGAATTTATTAGTTCTCCAAAAATCTGACAACCAAGGGTTCAGACCAGGAAGCAGGGTCATAGTTTTACACTCCTCGCTGCACCTTCTGTACTGCTACCCACCCATTACCCTATTAAGACAGTGTCTCGCCCACGGCCAAAATTGAATAGATTAAAAAATAATCTAAAAGGAGGAAATCAGGAAAATCTCATAAAAATAAACACAACTCA